CATCGACCGCACAATTGGTGCAATGCTACCGAATCACCACGCGAGCGAGCGAAAAACAAGGTCCCTCTGATTCACTCCTTGTTCAGGTGTTTTTGTCCAAGCAACAAACGACCGACCTGTCTGGAAAAGTCCAGAAACTTCTTTTCGAGAAAGACGCTATTGAGCGCCTCGGCATCGACGTTCTCCGGGTTCAGCTTGCCCGCACCAAGGCCGTTCGTCAAAAGGCAAGCGCTAGCTGTTGTGTTTTCCTCCCGGGTCTGATGTACCCTGGACACAACAAGCAGCCTCTGGATTGTTTTCTTCGGTACCGAGAGCACAGCGACAATCACCGTAAAGTTGCGGTTGTCGGATGACCCTTGTGAGCGATGACGCGTTCCCTGCCTTCTAAACACCTTATCAACTTTGATCCAATGAACGACTGTAAATCCAGGCAAGAACAATTCTGTACACTGACAGGGATCTCGCCGCAAACTCCCGTGGCCTCCAGAGAATTGAACCCGTGGCTGATGTCGCGCGCACTCTGTGTGGGGCCTGTCATGGCTTGTCTATTCTTGAAAAAGGTGTCTTGCTGTGTTGTTGGTTTTCTCGCTGCTGTCACGATGACTCATGGTCCTCGTGCGCATTGCAGAAGGCGCGCTTGAAGTGACGTGGTGGTAGTCTTCATTTCCAATTCAATCTCACGGATGAATGAGGACCGACGCTATGACGAACTCACATTGCGACAACATTCAATAATACTCAGTGTAGGTTCATCCGTATTTTTGTCGAAAGAGCCACTTGCATATCCCGCTTGACTGTTGATGGATTGGTGATATCAACCTGAGCTCTACTTAGTGTACGACCACCAGGTATGGTAATGGCACAGGAAAGTGCTTCTCCATGCATTTGAAGTCCAGATACAACGTCCACCGACCCGCGACTGTATTGCGGGCTGGTTCAGTGCGAAATATTTTACGGCTGAAGGGTATTCAACTCTGCAAGCGGTACATAGAATCACTCCACCGTTCGAAAATTTGCTGCTAGGTCGCACGATGAAACACGACGGCCTTAGTGTGGATTACTTTCCAATCGTGCTCGAGTTCGGGACCATTTTTTCATGATTGAAAAGTGAAGACGCTATTGATAGAGTGAATTTCGATCCAGAATTGAGTGAATCGTAGGCCGTCAAATCTTGTTCATAGTGTCGTATTGTCAGCTGTCGATGATTTCGCTTAGTCGAAGATGGCATCCTCAGCCAATTGTTGTCTCGAGGCCAACACGTGACTCCTTACGTGTTACCTTCCTCGTTGCCTGTGTGACCGAATTTTCGACGTACGCTACCATCAATGGTTGTGATTGCTAGCAAATGCCAATTCCCCACGAACAGTAGTCTTATCCACGTGTGTCTGGACAGAAAGTCACGACCGTGGTGCCTTGATGCGGCCACTGCAGTCCACCGGTATTTCTAATTTCCAACCTCACCGCCGTTACCTGAGTGAATGAATGACACAAACTGACCTAGGTAATGAAATCGTTTCGAGAGACCTCGCCATATTAGCAAGAAGACTCGCTTCATTCCTGCTGTGACCGGCTCAGCGCGTGACCCAGGACAAGGGAATGTTCCCCGGTTTTTGAACGTGAAGTGCCAGCAACAACGAAATAAACGAACGCTGCCCGTTGATTTTTTCCACGACGAGAAGCTTGTCTGTTCAAGCTCGGCGTGGATGATATACGAGGATGATTCCAGGGAACTTTCGGTCAACAATGTGTCCGCAACAACAACCATCATACGTCTCCTTCCCCGCCTGCCCAAATATCAACATTACGTTTTGAAGCCCTCGCACTCAATGTGGCCGATAGCTTCGAGGTCTTCGCCGGGGCCAGGCAACTGCCATCCGACAACAGTACTGTGGTATGTTGAACCTATCTGGGGCTTTCTGTTCTCGACGATGTATCTGTCCGTTGCCGAGGTTAGGTCAACGCCCGGGCAGAACAACTGCGCGAGCAAATCGAGAAGAATGTAAAGTCCGAGCGGAGAGGTTTCAAGGCTAGGGAAGCCGCAATGCATCTTGACGGCTCCTCGACACTGCCGCGCGGAACGACCGTACTCGACCGTGAGCATCCTAGGTCAGCCAACGCACGGCCTGGGGCTCGCGGTATTTCTGATCCAATTTTTTTTAATTGTTGTCGCATTTTAGGCTATCCTACCTGTAGATCGTTGGCAAGCACTTCCCCACCCCGTTCTCGACGCCAAATGAAGACGAAGTGGTTAGAGTCAGATTTGCAAAGAGGTTGCTGATAGGCGCATATATCTACGTGTCATAAAGAAGCGAGGCGAGAACGTTCCGTTCCGAAAACCCATCACGTACTACATACATCCGACATAGAGAGACTATTCGTTCACCGTTTGTCAAGAACGGCAGCTCTCATTGATCAAGAGCAGTGCGTCCACCTCATCTGGCGGTCATTGTGTCCTCTCACCTTCTCAGTGGCCTACATTCCTCTATGACAACGCCGCGCAGCATGCACGGGGTTGGCGTAACTGCGCTTGTCGCTAGCGGCAAAGTGGATGGAACAGCTGCTAGGCGGGCCCAGACTCAATTCCGCCTGTTCGCGGTGGAGGAACTGGAGGTATGAATTCGAGGTATCAAGTCACTTTGTGGACATGTCCGGTGAAGCAGAAAGATTGAACGATGCCAAGTGTCGAAAGGGGAGTGTGGTGAGAAGCTTGGAATCGTTGGCCACACCACGCTGTACATGGCGTTCCAGCATGAAACACAATACTGCCTTTTAATGCCTTCACAACGTTTTGGGGTCTCCGATGTCTGCCAAAGAGATGCCTCCGGTGGAGCAAGGGTTTTACACGAGACATCGCTGCCGTTTGCGAGACGTCACAATATCCAATACTGGTAGTACCGCTTGCGGCACAGGAGCACATTTTTTTATCACACACACTTACCTTCTTCTCGTTTGTCCGTCGTTGACAACAACTGTTCCTGGGGGGAAACATTCAGAGGGAGGGCAAGGAAGAGGCCTTGGAGCAGCTTGCGATGCTCGTGGGTGCGGAGCATGTGGACGATATCGCAGAGAAATTCAAGGTAACCGTGTCGCGTGCCCGGCTGAGTTGATTGTACGCCAGAGGTGTCCAATGCAGAACGAGGCGGCTACTATTCTTTTCTAGACATCAACGCGGCTTGTGAAGGTTGCGTAGTGCAACGACATGCTCAATAGCACATTAAAAGTTGCAGCTGTATTCGAGGTAGGGGAGTTTCCAGTAGGGTATGCAAAAAACGAACGCGTCAGCAAACGGAGATGGGTCGTGTGGTTGGGAATGCGAAATATATGCTGTTGCGATGGACGCTGTTGTATGGGTGCGAACCCCTCCTACGGCGTCACTGCAACTGCTCTACAGTCTCCAACAGCTTTCTCGATTAAATATTCCGACACGGTTACTTGTTTGCGAAAAAGCACAATCAAAATGCAATTCTTCAGACTCCAGAGTATTCAGGTGGCCACATCTTTCCCTGTCTTTGCTCCTCCTCTGACCCAACCAAGGATATCGAGGCTAGAGCGCAAGATCTCCAAGCCCAGGGGCAGACCTGCACGGTGACCGTCGAAAAACTGCGTAAGACACTCGAGCGCAGTCACAAGACCCTTTCTGATTTACAGGTGAGAAGGCGTTCTGCTCTCCGTATCGTTCCGTATGACTCCTCTCTCATGGCTGGAGCACGCCTCCCCATGTCAAGGATTTGAAGCGGGTCGACTCATATCTAGACTACTGTTGCACCTCCGCACCTCCACCTAACTACCCGACAACACCCAAATAGGTGGTAGACCGTGACACTGCGGCCGGAGGCTCGTCCACGCCTTGCGCTTCTTCCGGGAACAGCAATCTCCATCGCGAACAGCGTAGTCTGGATGACTTGGTATTCCAGTCGGGCATTCGTCTCGCACAGAGTACCAGGAAGGCCTTGAAGGTAACCCGGCCTCTAATGGGCAGCTAGACATGAACACAGTTTGGGGGCGAGGATGGTGGAGGATACGTCCACGACCACATGAAACATGTTTGAAGGACCTCATTTTGTTTGAAATGGGTTGATTGTTGGCAATTTTCCGGTGAGGGGGCAGAGACGGCAGCATCAAAGGCTCAGTGAGAGGCGCAGACCTATCGAAAACGCTTCTTGATCCGACATAATCCCGAGAGTTTTCACAGTTTTATCGTCCACTGGTCATGCAGCGTCAGTACAACGGCAGTAGCACCCACTCCTGTCGCCCCTCCAACTCCTACAACGTGTGTTCGGCATCAACAGGCGAAGGCAGAATTCACCGACCTGAGGGTAGGCGTTATTCACCTAGCAAGCCTGATCGACTCAGTGGTACGAGAAGCCGACGATCACGGTGGTGAACTCATCCTGGCAAAGAGCCGGGTCCAACAACTTCTGGCGAAGGATCTGTCGAACGCAGCGGCAGCGACGGACGTGCCACCGGCATTGGAGGGGGAGGCGACACCGACACCTTCAACAGCGGCAGAAAGCAGTGGCCCAGGCGGTGCAGCGGGGTCGGGGGCGTGGGTGGCGGCGCCAGTGCCGGCAGAAGGAGGTAGTGTCTGCTGTTCGTCCGCGGTGGTTCTAGATGCTTCTTTGTTGTTACTAGTTTGATTTCGGAGGATCAAGCCATTGGGATCAGCCTGCTGTAGGACGCACTGTTGGAATACTTGGTCGAGTACGGGGTGATGGCTCCTCTACGGCTAGGACTCAAGAAAATCAACTACTTCCACGAAAACACTCGGGCGAAAACAAAATTTCGGGGAGGGTCCGCACCGGTGCACGACGCCTCGTACCATAGCACAATGTGCAAAGCTCATGCTTCCGAGGATAGGTTCCACGCGAGGTTGGCAGTTGCCTCGAGCCCACCCCGTCAGTAGCCCGTTCCTTGCTTGCCCGGCTTCCTTCCTCCCTTCCTTCGCACGAAATTACGTACGTGCAGGCGGTGTCTCTTCGAGGGTGGTGGCGTCGCGTGACATGGAGGATCCTTTGGAGGTCGAGCACGACGTTGATTATCCGGATGGTTCGGGACTGGTGGAAACCATACCTGTGGAAAAGGACGAGGTACCATAATTGTGCCGCACCCTGCGGTCGTCTTGATTGGATGTTTGTTGTTTTGCTATCCATCTCGGACAAGGAGCTGCTGCCATGCACTGCATGAAACACGTACTTCCACATTCCTCGTAATTTGTGAATCGTGGGTGCTCACCAGAGAGATATCGTCGACCCCGCCCCAATTTCGACACCATCACTAATCGTAGGGAATCACCCTCTCACCCCTGCATCATCTATGCTGTGACGGGGGAAATTTTTCTCTCTTGTGACTTGTAGGAAAACAACCCGCCGATTGATAGGCCACACGAAACTCTCCTTGTCCTTGTCCCCAAGGATGGCATGCACTTCATCTTTATCGGGCAAGTATATGCGTACCCTTTGAAGCATCCGCGCACGAGGTGTTACGATGTCCTTACGCATTGGAACTACCGGCCGCACCATGCAGAACATGACGCATGGAGTGGAGTCGAAAATGACAGTAATTGAATACAGCAGCAGCCCGTCATGTGCAAGCTTCGCTAGGGAGCTAGACGCTGCTGATGGTCTCGAACCCCGATAAAGGATCCTCCCCTTGCCGGAATCGCCCCTCTTTTCGCCCGCCCGTCGAACGGACCCCAAGGACGTTTGCAAGCTGTTGGAAGCATGCAAGAGGCGTGTCTGCCGTGTGATGGAAGCCTGTGGTCTCGGAGGAAGCGTAGGAACGAAAGAATCGGTCTCCGACTCTGACAATAATGTTGACCCACAGCGACATTCCTTCTGGCACAGCGGGATCAACACGGCGACGGTTCCGCCGGGGAGCGAGCCGGCTACGGAGGGGGAGGGTGAGTCAAACTGGCGGTCCGGCCAAGATGGGGGCGGCGAGGGAACGAGTTACGAATCCCGGCAAAGCTCTTTGTGTGGCGTGTTCAGGAGGTGATGGCGGGGAACATGATTCGGTCGGGGGATTTCTTAAGTCTGTACGCACTTGACGACATCGGTGTCGTAAGACATCGGTGTCGTAAGTGCGTATGTGTGGATGAAAGACGAAACTTTCTGGTATTTCTCGTCATGTTCATTCTCGCAAAACCCTCCCTGTCTCCGCCCGTCTCGAATGCGTCGATCTGCAGCAACCCCCTCGGTCCTCGACCGACTCTTCACGGGGCAGACCAAGGGCCTCAAGGGCGACGGCGCGGGGATGGACATTCGCGTCTTCCCGCCCAAAGCGCGCGATACCCGATTCGAGCGGAGCATGGGTGACGCTCTCAGACAACAGAACGAAAAGCTGGAAATGCAAGAGGTACATACCTACAATAACGCAACCGAACGTTTTGTTCATATTTTCCTGATTTGATTGACACAAGCTCCATGCACGCCCACAACAGCACCCCAGCACCCTAGTGAAGGTCGCATCTGATGTTCGACTCGTATCGTGCCGATTGAGGAGGCACGGTAACGACATGCCCTCCTCACCTCGTGAGGTGTGGTGAACCAACCTGCCAAAGCAACGTGATTGTGAGGTGGTGTTGCCTAAAGGCCGAGCGAGTTGACAACGCTGTATATGGTGGCATGGTTGGTGCACCACTCTCGAGGATTGCACCCACTTCCGCGCCACTGAACTCTCTGGCCGAAGCCTCCCTATTTGCTTAGTTGTGTTTCCCTCGCTATCACCGCTGCTTGTCACGCTGTAAGTATCGCCGACCATCGACTAACGTTGGTTTCGTGCTTCGTTGTTTGTTCGGTATCAAACATCGCAGACAGAGGCCAACAATCTTGACCGTAACGCGGTGGCGACGGGAGTGGCGTCGTTCCTTGAGGATGCGCTCAACAGCAAGTCTGCCAACAAGCACTTGAGGCGGGCCAACATGCTCGTGATGGGCAAACAGGTACAGTGTGAATTCGCTGAGTAGATTATTGTGCGGTGTTTCAATTGATGCCGTCTACCCGTCTGGAAGGGAAACGCCTAGAACGGTCAAAGGAGAGAACAAGCTGATACGTTGTTTGATGCTCATGGCGCCCGTATTCCTTTCGGGAGTAGTCGCTAGAGGGACTGCCCCCCGCCCTCGGCAATTGATCTGATGTCATCGTCACTCTTTGTGGGAGTCTCATCGATCCAACTTCCAAGCATGTTGGTCGTCCCCAGAGACTACAAGCAGCCACCACAAGAACATCGGGATGCAAACACGATGTCGGCAGGGAGATCCGAACACCGTACATCGTTGGTTCGCTGAAAGGGCAGTCTCACTCAACAGACTTGTCCATGAACGCTGACAACACCACTACCGAACGGGCTGCCTTCTGATGAAATACGAGGTGTGGCCCAAACCTCGCCGGGGAAGGCGTGCGACACAAAACCACGGAAACCGCGTCTCCATCATTGCGGTTCCCTCTCATCCTTTGTCCGCGATTCACATGGTGAACGCAGAGAAATACGTTGTTGTAGATCTTCGACAATGTTTGCAAAATCAAATTCAAACATCCCATACATACCAAGTGGGAATAGTTCCTTAGAAGTATCGCTTCTTCTGTCACTTGATGTTGCAGGGTAAGCGCGCTGGGTTCGGGCTAGTGATGGATGATGTACTGAGCGGTGCCGATATCGACATCTACGGCCTCGCGGACGCAACGAGGAGGCGAGCCAACGGCATGGAGAAGGTTTCGACCGCGGACCGAGCCATTCTTAGTCGCGCAGATTTGTCCTCAGCCGTACGAGGGAGGCCAGACTTGAAGGTAAGTGGGATGCAGCATGGAAAGAAAGCCTTGATATTCCAATAGACGTTTCGATGCACCACCTCCTACACAGTCTACCTCGATCCCCCTCTTGACAACAGCTCTCTTTCTTCGAAATCAGCTTTTGGCCGAACATAGTAACCCCACACGGCAACCTGAAAGCCCACGGTGAGCGCACGGCCCAAGCGCGAAAAGAACATCGGTATCCTTCCGCTCCCCCGTGTCATGAGTGAGCACCTTGTCAAACTTGACGAACGACCAGGTCGTCCCTAGTACCTTCCTGCGACAAAAACGTGGGGAAGCGATAACGCTTAAAGTCGAGGCGTACGCGCTTTTCCCTGTCGTCGCTTCATCCTTGCGTGCGCGCAGGCGAGCTCGCAAGCAACGTCTGCCCGGCGGAAGCAGGAGGGCCGAAAAAAGGCTTTGATGAAGAAACGGGTCGCCCAGACGGCGCGAGCTTTGGGTAATAGCTGATCAATAGGAATTGTAGATACCGGCTCCCGTTCATTCCAACGGTCTCACGCTGCGCGGGTCAATGAGTTGGCTGGCAGTTCTGCGAACTATGCCAGATTTCGCCAGGACAACAGTAGTGACGCTGGCTTGTGCGACAAGGGATTCTTCGGCAAGCAGCCCGTACATGGTGTCGACAATAATGGCAGTTTTCATGTGGGCATGTTGCAGACGCATCTTGCCGCAGGCTTGAGGCATGCCTGAGCGAACAAGTCGCAAGCTGCCACCAACTTGAACACGAGTTACAGCGATTCTCTGAAAAAACACTTAGCGTACACGCGCACTACACCACACCTCGCAGACACCAGCGCCCGCGTATCCATCACCATGTGCTTGCGGTCATTCCAAGCTGGGCACACTCATTTGCCTCCAAAGGCTGTATCAGCGTTCGTCCTCCATCACAACGCCATGTTTGGTGCGACAGTTTCGCAGTACACCCTCACGCCCGACGGGGATAGCCACGTCACAACCAACCACCCTGAAGGCTCCAGCAAAGAATACCCATGCTAAGCAAGGAAAAAAAAATCTACAGCGAATCACGGCCTTGCCACAACCTCGGGTATCCACTACATTTCAGCCACCCACTACCGTCGACGATCCATACCCCCCATCGAGTTCATCCCTTCTGTACCGCGCCCACCACTCTGCGGGGCCCCTCTGCCTCGCCCGCCCCCCTTGCCTCCCCCCCGTCCGCCGGCGCCGCGCCCGCCCAGTCCCCTCCAATCCATGACATTGCCCGAAGACAGAGGGACTGGTGGTGCCAACGCCGGGGCACGACCTGAAGGTTGCGAAGAAGAAGAAAAGGGGGGGCCACCGGAATACGGGCCGTCGCCGGGCGCACGTGCGCCTCGTTCCCAAGCCCCGCTCGCGTCGGCGCCGCTGCTGCGGCTAGTGGGTGGCTCCTTGTCGCGACGATGATCGTGTCGTTCGCCGACCTTCTCCTCACCCCGTCCGCCGTTGCCGGCCCGTGGATTTTCGCTGCTTCTGGTTTTGTTGTCCTTGCCGTGGGCGCGGCCTTCCTTCTTGTCCTCTTTCTTCTTGTCCTTCCTATGGTGTTTGCTCTTTTTCTTCTTGTGGTAGCCGTCGCTGCCGTCGCCCCCGGCAGAGGATTCCTTGTCCCTCTTCTTCCGCTCCCGCGCATCCGCCCGAGCTTCCTTTCTTTTCCGCTTTGCCTCCCGACGTTCTTTCTTCGCGGCCGCCGACTCGCCCAGTGTTCCCCCAGCACCATCGCTTTCATCGCTCGATCCAGAACCCTATGTGTGTGAGTTGCAAATTGTTGCGTTGGGACCATGTTTCAGGCGCAGTCCGTTCAGGCATCGTATGTTCCACGGTCAGACGAGGGGTACAAACGAACGAGGACAGCAGCGTGTAGCTCAAGCGTGAAAGGAGACGGGCTCGGGGAAAAGCTGTGTCGGACGCTACGGCCCCCAACCTCCTCAACCGCGGGTCTGAAGCAAAACCATGGCTTCGGTCAAAAATTCGGCTCAAACACATGACTTCCTGAAACGTACACGCCTTGGATATCACACACCCAGCGGCCGATCCGAGCGCGCCAACGCACGTGTTGCTCTTTGTAGTATATCTTGCGCTTGATCATCACGCTTTCATGTTTTTGTTTGTCTTGACTTTAGATCAGCGCTCACAGCATTTGTGGCATTTACTCCTACCCGTGGTCAGTCACACACAAGGGTTCCTATCCCTGAGGCCCCCTCCCCGCCCCTCCTGCCGTTCATTGCCTTCGATTTGTAATGCGAGAAGATTGTAGCACTCTCTTCCCTCTGTGTACACACGAACAAGCGTTTCGAACTCAGGCCATGAACGGAAGCGAGAGGAAATACACACTTTGCAACAACACCGCGCTTACGCCGGGATTCGAACCCCTGACTGTGGCCACTAGAATACCAACTAGACTACCGGGGCGACCGGCAGTAGGTCGCAACAAAAAGTTCAGAAAATCTCGTTTCAAAAGCCACCCGCTGAAAATCTGCAAATGATCTCTCTCAAAGTCACACCTGCTCTGGTTTGGCGAACACGTCAACACCCTTGTGGAAGTTGTGAGATGTGGCCAGCTGTTTCCCTTCGTATGCGACACCAGGCCTCCACTGCGGCCCCTTCTCCGACGGCGCCTCACCCCGAGCGATCCTCTCCTCGTCCTCTTTCTCCGCTTTCTCCCTCACCTGATTGAACCGACACGGTCGCGTGCAACAACGATGCACAACATACGCGTTGGATGCACAACCGAGAATCGCACACGCTGGTCTACAGCGTGGACACCAAAAGCATGAACCAACACAAGCAGTCTTTCAGTTAGCGCAGTTCTGGGGTAGAGGCGAGGAAGGTTGTGCAACGTGCGTGTTACCATGCTGTTTCAAGATATCGGTGCTTCAGCCGCAGCTATCTCCGTGGAATTGGCTATCCACGGACGCTACAGAACCTCCCTCTCTTGCTCTCTCTCTCCACGCACCTCGGCGGGCAGGGAGTACTTGTGCTTGTGGTCGACTCGAATCGTGCGACCCAACAGATCGATGCCGTTGAAGTTGTCCACGGCGAGGATGGTGCTCTTCTGGTTCTCGTACTTGATGAAGCAGAACCCCTGCAACCCAAAATGTGGTGTGTATTGGGGAAAATAATACTCAGAAAGATTATCCGTTCGAGACATAACACAGTCGAAGGGGATGTGTTGAAGTCTTTCCAGTAAGTGGAGGGAAACCGGCTGGGTACTGGGCTTATATCGAGTCTATCTAAGCCTACGCACTGAATTTTTTGTCGGTGATGCCAGCAGGTGTTGTTATTGTTGTCTTCACAATAAAAAACATTGCTGTCACCAACATCGAAGATATCCCCCCCGTGTAAAAGAAGAAAAAAAAAAACTGCGGGGCAACCTCCACCCGCCACACCTACAAACGCAAGCGGTAGTCCCTCCGTCTTGAGTGTGTCGTCGTACAGAATATGAATGCAGTGAGACATCCAACGCGTCACAGGAGTTACACCAACACCGGTGGTACAGAAGAAGCCGCTAGCAACGACTTTACTCGGAGAACGCGACATCTACAGTAGCGTTGCATCATTGGCAGACAATACTCGGAGTACACAGCAGTTAGACGGAGACACACCAGCCGTGCTCCACACCAAGCCTGGAGGCGCACAGCGCGACACTGGCATGCTCTGCCCTTCTGGTCCTGCCCATCGTTATACCTTGGACTTCCCTGTATCCTTCTCTCGGCACAGGTTTATGTCCTCGATCTCCCCCCACTGTGACATAACGCAAAGAATGTCCCCCTCGGTGAGGTCGTACGGAAAGCCTCCGGCGAAGACCCACGCACTGTCCTTGTATTCGTGGTGCCATGAGGCCTTGCCGGACACCCCTTGCTCGAGCTCCCGCTCGTTGATGCGCCTTATCTCCTGGATCACGTTCATGGCTCTGATACGGATTACAAGGTGTGCTCAAACCGAACACAGGAGATGCGCAGGAGGTGAGAACAGGAGAGCCCATCCCCGTCCTGGCGGGAACCAGCCCTGACCAATCAGCGATCGCAGTCTGTACAGTCCCGCCTGCAGCCGCGTCCGTTCCCCATCCCAACTCCTTGTGGTAACAGCAGTTGCAGCAGTGTTTGCCGCTCTATCATTTTATTGTCGCTCGCTCCTCTCTGTCGGCAATGGCTACCCCTTCTCGACGAGATGTAGAAGAGGAGCAGCAGCAAACCTGGTCAGGGTCTAAGGTTCGAGTGGGAGGGGTCTTGGCGAGGCAACCGAGTCCGAGCCCGGCCAAGGCTAGGCAAGCACAGCGTCGGTACCGCTCCTTGTACCACCAAGCCGCCAAAGAGGTGGAGTACAACATACAATGGCAGTGGGTAGCCTGTAGCTTGATACGAGACGACTCTCTAGTGTAGGTGCCCTTATCTGTCTTTGCTAAGCCGCCATGAAGCCTTGTGGGTTTGAGCTGTGCTTGCGTTCTTTTGTTCACATCTATTTGTAGGGATGTATGCATAAACCCAGCAGATACGCTCATCAACGGCCGAGGGCGTTACGGGTGTGACGATAGATGAGATGCAGTTCTGGAACTTTGCTTGACGCATGAAATGATAAACTGTTGAACCAACTGACCCGCGACGGCTTGGATCCAGAGCTCGCCCTCCCATATGGTTTGACCCACACATTCAAGGGAGCACATCCCTAGGCCAAGCAGGCGGTTCCTGGCCGAATTTACTATTAAGCAAGCACCAGCTTACAAGTAATGGACGTGTCACGAGTGCAAGGTGCTTTTGCCTTCCAATGGGTCATGGGTTCGTGCTTGTTTCGTGTTTTTGTCGGGTTGTGCGGGATCACATCGTCAGCAGCTGGGTGAGCCCCGATTGAGGATCCGCACCTCAATGAATCGCGAATGGACCAAGACGAACACACGCAGGGTACCGCCGTAGCCGCTTGGCCGACGCACAGGACGCGTCTGATACGAAGGCTTGGCCTTGCTGATGACGGTATTCCTTGTCTGGACTACACGTATAAGAGAGTGGATCTACTCGTCTCGTGGCGGTAGGCCGTTCGCCACGGCTTGCAAAGCTGGCTAGTAACTTAAGCCGCCATAATACAATGTTTGTGTCCGTGCGTGCGTGCGTGCGTGCGTGCGTGCGTGCGTGGAACGCGTCTGCAGTACTGGGCATGGCGAAAAGGAGAGGGCGACTCGCAGCGAGCTCTTGGGTCAGCGTTTCACCTTATTGATCGCCTCCAGCTGTTCGAGCCGGACCAACAAACGGTATTTGTTTTGGTCTGCACTCTTTTCGCTTCAGACGGATGAACTTGAGAAGGTGGTGGTTCCGTGGGGAATGCGGATAACAAAGAAGGTGGTAACCTCCTACTCGATGTTTTCGAGGGGACGACGCACCACATAATCATGAGGGTCGATGGCCAATCGAGCCCAAAATGCTATCAACGACCGAGGACGTCCTCCCTCCCGGCACCGAGTGCGGTGATTCATTCACACTGACCCCCCCTGGAGCGTTTGAGGACTTACAGGATCGTGACGCCCGCTACTGCTGTACCTTGCTGCCGCAGGGTGGGGATATTAATCTCGGTGGATTGGAGAAATTGCCGGGTTGCCGGGAGCTCCTGATTCACAAGCACACCACCGAGCTGGAGCGAGTGATGCGCCTCTGGCGCGCCCTTGTGCGGCAGATGAGAGGACAGGTGCCTCAGCAGTGTCCACGCTCTTGAGATCAGGAGGAATAATGCAGTCATCACGTGGGATGGGCGGGATACATGTTTGAGCGCCGAGCGGTCGCTAGCTTTTCGAGGACGCCTGTCGCCAGCTCATGGCAATATCTAGCGTACGCATCTGCGGACTGCGAACCATTTGGTACACGGCCCATGTAATTTTTTGGGAAAAGTTGGAGCTTGTGGTTTGTAGATGCAAGGCACACGTTTCTCATTTGTCATTGACGATCACCATGCCCGTTGCACGATTGATTTATTCGTGGGTGGTACGCACCCGCACCGACGTGTCTTGATCGACGGGCGGCAGGTATCCCGTGTTGAAGAGCTTCTCGCCGAAGCCTGGCAGCTACATCGCTCCGACCCGGCTCGAGCGCTTCGGCAACCCCGCCACCCTCCGCCGCCCTCGCCGTCCCCAACCCTACCGACGGCCCAATCGCGATCCCCTGGGAACGCCTTCACCATGCCCCCGTCCCCGCAGCACGCTAGCGCTGCTGTCGGGGTGCGGTCGACTTCTGTAAGCCACGCCACCGCTCCGAAAGGGCGTCAGCAGCGCGTTGATCACGTCGGTGCAAAGGAGGGCGACGTTGATGGCAGCACGGGCAATCCTCAACATTCCTCCCGAGAAGGTGCAGAAGTCGCTGCGTCGTCTCAGGGGCGGCTGGGTGATATCGGGAACGGGCTGCAGGCAGGTTTGCCAGCGACAGGCGGGATGAAGGACGGTGATCGAGCGGGAGCGGTGGTCTCAGAGATTCCCGAGGAAACCACAAGAGCGATGGCGACTGGAGAAGATAGGGCGGGGGGGGTGACGACCGTGGTCGTGGGGCCTGCGGAGTACCTGCAATGGCTAGGAGATTTGTCCAGCATGTTGGTGCATGAACAGTGGCGAAAGGAGGTACAGAGCGTGCCGGCACCCCAAGTAGCGACCTCCAGTTGATCCCCCGACGGACAGTTGTCTTCGAGTCTCCGAGTTTACAAGTATATAGATTCCTGGGTAATGCTTGACCATCAAATTTATCGATTCCCCGCGGGATATATGAAGGTTATGCCTCGCAGGATGATGTTGCGGTAGGGACTAGGGATAAATTGGCTCGAGCCACAAGCTGTTCTTAGTCCACCTGGTACTCATATTCCGTAAAAAATGCGCTCTTCCCAATCGCTCTCTCCTGAAACGTTCCAAACCCGTCTATTAAACTCTCCTCTGGTCATATCGGCTCACGTGCAGGAGCTTTTATTGCGAGTTGCGTTTGGGCCAGAGGCAGCATCAGCGCGGCTCAGGGCCCACGTGCAAGCGCACTGGTCGTCGCGATCGGCGCATAGTTTTCTTGACCAGCCGTCGATCGACGCGGCCACCACCGCAGCGCAGGTCGTGCCACCTCTCAAGAGCCGGTAGCGCTGTGCAAGACGGCGCGTGTTCGCAAGGTTGGCCCACGATAGGTGGTGGTTGAGCGTGCACAGGCACACGGAACGCGGTGGTACCGCTGTCTTGGATCAACTACGCGGCAGGACATGGGGGAATGGAAACTCCATCGTCAATCCCAGGACGAAGCTGTGCTTCTAGCGCTGCCTGCCTAAGAATTACTGGATTTCGTCGTGAAGGAATCTTTCGCCGCCCTTCCTTGGTGTGGGTAGGACATGATTTGAAAAATTGGGGTTTATCGCCTTGTTACCTCCAATGATGTGCAGTAGAAAAGCAGTGCTTTACAACCGTTGACCAAGTACATTTCTAGAGGGCCGAAACAGCTGGACCATGAATAACGACATGAGCCCTGCACAATTGAGGGCTGACGCAGCGCCCAACTTTTTTATCTCCCTCTGTTTCGTACAGAGGCAACAGCGAACCGGATTGATTGCGAAACACAAAATGTAAGCTGATATTTGAGGGTGCTGAGCAAACACGCCGTGAAGTCACTGCTGTTATATGGCCACTCCTTTCGGACGTGTTGGTCGGCTGTGGCAGAATCCCGTTTGTTTATCGCCTAATAAACTTGTTTTACATTTTAGCCCCCGAAGCGCCAAAAAAACAGACAGACAAACACGTTATCGACACAAGAAATACGTCTACTCGAGGGCAGCCGCCATCCTGACCTAAAAAACAGTCAGTGCAATGATACTCCCCCGCTATGTACGTTGACGGAAGCCTTGCTCTCAAAAAGGACACCCCAGAATCAACCACAAAGCTTCTGTGCCACTATCTGTTCACGCAGCACGCAAACAAGCGGCTGGCAGACGCAGGTTGACGACAACCTCCCTTCGCCAACCTTCGGGAAACACCTTTCGGCGCCTCCACACACACGCACCGTATCTCAATACCAACATTCCTTCTGGTCCACGAAATCCCGAGGCGACCTTTCCTCGCCTGTTAGGCTACAAACGACTGTTCGACGCAAAGCAGATCTGTTTCTGGACGCTTCGTTCGGCATGCGCCTTGCTTGCTTCCTAAATTACTATCACAAGAAGGACCACGATACAACAATACACTCGAATCAACCCCCCGCTACACAACGGAGCAGCGTTAGAATCCGCTTTCGAAGCCGCCGATAAATCATGCGACACGAACTCATCGCGTGAGGGTCCCCGCAGGCATCGGCATACATACACATCTTCTCACGTCACCACCCACTGTGAGAGAGGCGTGGTCTTGGCAGGGGCGCTATCTGTTGCCTGGTCTTGCCGCCTTCTCCATGAGCTTGGGGATGTCGCCGGAGAACACCTTGTCCATCTCGTGCACCAAGCTCTTGTCTAGGCTCTTGAACTTGGAGATATCCTTAATCTCCCTCAAAGACCGACGGAACTTTTCCACCTGATTTTTCATTTCGGGTCATCAAGTGTTGAGTCCACGTGATACCAAGCTGAGGCTGATGAACGACGTGTGCAAAACGCGGTGAGATAAAATCACGGGAAAATATTGCTAACATCTCCTCTATCAAAAGGTAGCCGGCGAATACTATGTCAGAACGCACAGGCGTTGCTACAAAATGTATGCAGCCTCACAACGAACAAGATCACAGCATGCATCGGCCTGACACAGCAACGGAGGTGAAGTGCGGTGTACACACGCTCAACAGGGATCGACTTTCGGATCGCCGTGATTCACCCTTTGATCCTTCGCAGACCTGCTGAAGGGAGGGCTAACGGCGGTGCCGACCGGCGTCTGTTCCGATAAAAGGCGAACTATTAATAGGACACTCAAAAGTATCCGTCCACACAGACGGCCAATGTATGCGCTAACCGCTGCCATGCACGCTCACAAAGTAGGTATCGTCTTTTAGATGCTTTATAAAGCATAAAGCAGACCATACATCGGCAAGGATTGTTCAAAGTACAGCGTTCGTGGCGCGTTCGTGGCCACAAGTCTCACTTTCGGGAAGTCGCCCAATGGCAGCCCATAGCGCCTTGCACAGGCGAGGAACTCCTGATCCAACCGCCTGATCAGCTTCTCCTGTGGAATGTACGAAAAACAACCGCACGGCAGGTGGGCAGCGACTCGTCCCGTAAACTTGGTGCCAAATCGCGGTAACGGTTTCAGCTCAGCAGCAGTAGTATTCTTGGAATGGACGAAATCACGAGGGGGGGGGGGCTGAGGCACCCGGCAGCATTCCCCCGAAATCGTCAACCACTTCACCAACCCGTCCGGTAACAAAGGGCACACAAAACAAATCATCCACCAACCTGTTTCTCCTGCTTGCCCATCATGTACGGCATCTGTTTCCGGAGGTAGTGGATGATGTACGCATGAACCTTAACGCTTCGCGCCCGCTTCACGAGCTCGTTGATTCGCCGCACGACCGCGTTCTCCGGGAGCAGCATGAGCTCCTCCAGCAGGTCGTTTTTCTCTTTCTGCTCGACGGGATGCAGAGTCGCGAGCACAGGTCATGCGGGGTGAGTGCAGTAGCCCAGGGGGAGGGGTGCACTGACGAGATTGGCGGCGACTACGGCAGCCTCATCAGGAAGAGCTCTCCAAATATAATTATGGTCACTCGTTCCAGTCATGTACCAGTTGGTGGACCACCATAACCTTATAACGCTTACCGCGTGTCCTCGTCTCCCCTCCAAAACATTTGATATAGCCCAAAAGCACCAAACCACACGAACCGACCAATCCTACTGACTGTCACATATCCCAACACAACAACGAGAGACTCATCGCATGTCCCAGTCCTCCCAAAAAACGCGATACAGCCACCACCAAACACCAAACCACGCGAACCGACCAATCCTGCTGATTGTCACATCTTCGGACCGTACTAGTAGAGTCTGCTCCAGGGCACAATCATCGAAACCGCGCATACATACCTCGAGCAGAAATCTGTTGTCAAAATTGCTGAGCGGGGCCTCCCAGAAGGATCCGATGTACACCCGGCACACCTCGGGGGTTTGCATGACCTTCCCCAGTGACCACATCAGGGCGCCGTACACGCGCATGAGTTGCTGCGTGTCAATGGTGTCGGCCTTGTTCAGGAGCACTCTGCGGTCCCGGCGATAGATACAACAGGCGAGGTGCGATCAGAGGACAGGCACGTCTTGGGGTTGGGGGAAAAGCGACAGGCATCTCCACGCCGATCGCAATGCAACAGTCGGCGAGACGAACAAAGCCGCGCGATTTCATTCTTCCAAAGCAGGATTCACCATACCCGAAACCGTTTCGAGCGTCAGCGGCGATGTTACTGCTCCTTCTCGATTGGCTACGACACACTGGTTGCGTCATCGCTGTAGCACTGGAGGCAATATGTAATAATATTTTTCAACACGCCAGCTAACACCACCCACAGGCCGTGAATCTCCAGTGCGGCCCTTGTACCTACCTCATCTTGTCGTGATGGGGCTTGAGCGTGTCGATCACCATCTTGAGCTCGTCGGATATGTCCAGCTTGTGCGCATCGAACATGATTACAATCAAATCCGCCCTGGGAGGAGCATGTCGTGGAAAACACAACAACAACAAAAATGGACGACAACAGAGGAGGCGATGACAGATCAACGTCACGCCGGTTTTGGGGATGCGGCGATTCTCGCGGTCTACATCCAATAGCTACATATGTCCAGAGAAACAGTCAAGCGAGAAGTGCACGGGTGGGGGGCTTGTCGCGAGCAGATGGAGAGTAAAAGCATTCGCCAAACATGTTTCACCTTTCCGCGAACCACGATATCACAGAGGCAAAGTCGTAGTCCCGCCCTATACGTTGCTTTTCTCCGGAGAGGACACCTAACCACAACAAGTTGCGGCCAGGGGGAAGCACACGCAGGTCGAACAAAAAACAGGGCATGGGGTTAACGGTATGGGCGTGAAGGCGACAAATACCGGCGGCAGAGCGAGAAAGGGGGGGGGTGGGGGCATGAACTTTCCAGCGTTCCATCCGCAACGAACGAGAAATCTGCTCGATCCACAGCTCCGCAGCCCCTCTGGCCATTGACCAACTCGTTCAAGAGAGATCCCCAACCCCAACTGAAACAACATTGCTGCGCACCCCACTCTGCCGTATATGGCATCCGACAGGAACAAGAGGTGAAGGCGTTGGTAGTGCTTGCCACGGTCCCGGACAAGCAAGAAAAATTGCTGGAAAAGGGGGGCTAAAAGCAGAGGTCGCTCGCTGCCTGAGCTACTCCTACCACGCGTTCGTTCTTCTCCCCCCCCCTCTCACCTGGGGTGTCGACGAGGGTGATGTTCCGCAGTATGGGAGCATCCACCACCGAGCCCTCGAACTTAGTCAGGAAGTTGTTACCGAACTGTCGTCGTCGACAGCCAGCCCGCACCGAGAATGAATGAAGGGCGGGGCATCATGTCATGTGCGGCCGGCGGTATGGGCGTGAGAAGACGGTGCAACCAAAGGAAGAAATCAACTGCTACCGTGGGACGCGGAAAAGTGGTATGTGAAACGAGTGACCACACCATCGTCAGGAAATCCGGTTCCGAAGATAAACGCACACGACGAGATGCCAACATGTATGGCATGGCAGTTGTGCCGGGTTTCCGCCTAAAAGGGCGGATGGTCGGCCATAGCCCCTCGACAATATTAAACAAACACAAGTCTCATCTCTAGGTCGAAGAGTTAGGTCAACCTCTGCGCAAAAACGGCCTGGCGGCAATCCAACCAACAAGCGTTGGTCGTCTTTCCAGACTCATGATCTACAGGATCAAGCCAAAAGCCAGCAAGATCAACTACCCAAACGCCAACCGTAACCTGCCGTTCTCCCCTTTGGGGGTCACATCACGTCACAAATCACCTGCTGCAAACTTCGGAAGGGCTTGTCCGCCTGCATCGCGAGCGCGTGCCCCGGCATCACCCGCTCGTCCTCACCGTGGGTCACGGCTACGAATCTGAGGGGGTTTTCGTGTTTTACAGTGTTCGCGGAAGGCCGCGAGCATCACATCATGCGGGAACCGAAGTCAGACACAAGGCCACAAACAAACGGGCGGTAGGATACAAGCCATGATGCATGTGGCCACCGTCCGTAGCGCTGTCGTCGGACAAGGGCACAAAATCACGGCCGGGATAAACTGCGAATATCGTGCAGGACGGTCGTCGGATACACGAGGACGCAAACAAAAAGGGCGGGAATGAACACAGTATTCGTGGTGGACAGACATGTAGGGGACACGAAAAGAGGGAGAGTACTAGAGAACCATTACAAACAACACGAGACACGACCAGCAAACCACTTGGGCGACACGCCTGCATGACGTCAAACCGTGGATTGGATTACGTCACACCGTGATCGGCGAAGGACACAGAATTGCCCTCGTGGTCGAGCTTGGCTCCGAAAATTGAAACACAACGCTGCAAAGACACAGACCTTTTATCGATACGCTGCCCTCGCCACTGGAACATTACCCTCTCACACAAAGTTCACCGGAAGCAAAATCTTGGACCAATCATAGACCGAACCAAGTCACAGGTACTGAAAAACACATGCAGAGGTCGGAAAAGAAAGCATGGCGCGACGTCACACATCTTGTCACCCAAAAACCACACCAACCTGTCTGTGGTCGGCTCCGGGCCAACCCTCTGCCCCGGGAAATCTCTCTTGAGGAGGGAGCGGATGAAGCTCGTCTTGCCGACACTGTACTGCCCAACGATGAGCACCATGGGCTTCGCTTCGAAGTCTGCGGGGTTCATTGGCGGCGAGTGGAAGTGCGCGTATCTGCTGGACTCTTCCAGCGGGAGAATCTGGAGTTGCGGGAACGGAGGGAGGCCGGTCAGAAAACAAACGAAGCATGGAATGGGTGGTGGAAAAGAGAGTAAGCAGGATGTGAGAAACATGGGATGTGTGGTATTTGAGTACCAGCAAGAGGCGAAAGGGTGCGACGGTAACGAGACGGGGGTGGGGCGTTAGCCATAGTCTAGTTTGAGACGTGCGAGAGTGTCGTCGTGGGCTGCCCGTGGGCGATCCATAGTGACCCTCTTGAACTTAGCGACAGGGGGTCTGTGTAGCTCGGGTGGTTTTGTCGCGTGGTATGGTGTAGCGTGAACCGGTACATCCCCTATCAGAGATCGAGAAGCTCCTCTTTCCGTTAGGGATACAGCGGCAATCGGAAAACTGCAATGACCCGAAGTGCTCTACCAAAGGGGCTTCTCGTTTGTATTGTGCCCACACAAGTTTTCACTAGCTCATTGCCCGCATCCGCACTCCCTACCAATCATCAACCAAGAGCAAAGAGCAACAATGGCAACCTTGTGTTCGCATCTAGCCTGCCAGACAGGTTAGTTGCGCCTGAAAATGCCATGCAGACGAAGCGGAACGCTACTTCTTAGCATACCTTTTTTCTGTAGAGCTTCTTGAGCCCGTCGAAGATGACCTCTTTGTCAGTGTTCGAGAGCAGAGCCCGAGCTATTTTATCGTGTTCCTGGTCGCCCCCGAGCTCCCCGCCACCCCCACCCCCACCAGCAGCACTGCGATACTGGCTGAGCTTCACCTACCAATAGGATAAACGCGACAAACAGAGCCCAAACATCACACCACGTGTTGTATCCAAACTTGCGACATCTAATCAAAGTCTGGGGGNGGGGGGGGGGGGGGGGCAATCCTACAGGGCACAGCGAAAACTCGCATCCAAGTAGTGCTGTGCTAGTGCGAGGTGCTGCTGACCACCAGGGTGGTTGTGATGAAATTGGCACCGGGAAATGAATTTGCGCAGGAGTGGGGATACTGTAGAAGTTGGGCGGGGACTACAGTGGTACTGGTATCACGGATGCATAGAGCACTATACTCTTCACACCGGCATACGGTACACACTTAAACGTCCATCATATCGCCCGGTTATCATGCGTTCAGCTGCTGCAACAACCGGCACAGCCAACTTCACTGCCTACACTCGCAACACGTCGCGGCCCTCGTCCCTTCTTTCTCACCTCGGGCGTGACAGCCCCGGCACTAGCAGCCGACGGAGGTTCCCACTGCCCGCCGCCGGCGCCACCGCCGCCGCCTCCTCCGAGCCGCGCGGTCGATCCCGCCCCGCCGGCCATGCCATTGCCGGCCGCCGCTGCCTCCACCTGCCGCTGTTGGAACATCGCGGAGGGCGGGGACTGCGGGGGCATCGCATGCCCGTTGTTTCCGTTGTTACCAGCATTGCTGTTGCGGGCCCTGTCGTAAAGGTGTTCCTGAGTCTGCTGGTGTTGTTGGCCACCGTCCTGCCCCCAAGCGGCAGGTTGTCCCTGCTGTTGTTGCCGTTCAAGTTCTCGCTGCTGGGGGTACTGCTGCATTGAGCTCGGCGGGGACAGCGGTCCTCCTTGCCCTGGCTGCTGCCCCATCATCACCATGCGCTCGTGCGCCTGCTGGTTGACCTCTCTTGCCTCACCTCCCGGTGCACCCACTCCCTGCTGCTGCTGCCGCTGCTGATGATGATGATGGCTGCGCCCCATCATCCCCACAGCCGCTGCGCGACTTGTCGTGCCGTCCTCGCACACCGTCCCATCACCCTGCTGGCCTGTTGCTACTCCCTGAGAAGACCCCGGTACTACTTCTCCCCACGATACTCCCGCCTCCTCCCCACCGCCCCCTCCAACAGGATCCGGGGGTGGCCCTGGCGGGGGGGGGGTCCAACCGGCCCATCGATCTTGCTGGTGCTGCTCCTGCCTGCCGTTGTACTGGCTTCCCAACGAGGCAGGAGGGGGCGGAGGTGGTGGCGGGTTCCTTGACCCAGAAGAGGCCGTTGCAGCACCGACCAGCACGGAGCCAAACGCCACTACCGTTACGAAGGACGAGCGCCGGGGGCGACAGCGTCGGCGCGCTAGGTTGTTGTTGCTGCTGCTGCTGCTGCTGCTGCTGCTTGCGCTGTACACGTGTGGGCTGGCCGAGGCGTTGTTGGCGACATGTTGGCCAACTTGAATGCGCCGTTCATTGCGTCGACTGCCGAGAGCTTCTGCACCACAAGGCGGGCGCCCCTCTATCTTGTTCATGTGTGTCATGCCTTGGCAGCCACGCGCGCCGGACAAGGAAAGCAGAGGTGTGTAGAAAAGACAGCGCTGTCGTATGCTACTTCACTTGCAAGTTCGAGTGTAAACGGGGGGACGTATCATGGCTTGGGGAGGGCGGGGGGGTGCGTAGGTCTTCTTTGAGTGCCCCCCGCCCTCAGAGATAACAACTGCTGTAGATGCAGTCTATGGATGATTGTTATGGTCATATACCATAGGTTGCAGTCCAAGAGCCTGCTGAGTCTGTCATTGTATGCGTCGCACAATTTAAATTACTGCAGCGTCTTACGAACGTATCAATGCACCTCCTACCGCGCCGAGCATTGGTGTACGTACTGATATTTGTTGTCAGGTTTTGCCGTCCTTCGTGCTATTTATTGATGGTGTAATTGGAGGTGGTCGTGTGATGCGTTCCGACGGTCAGTGCTGCACAGTGTTTTTTTTGTTCTAGTCGTTGTCAGATGTTAGACTCCATGTCATGACGTTACGCCTGTGTTGCACCCCATGGAAGCAAATTGTCTTCCTCGTAAGATTGACGGCATGAGTCAGGCAGGGCATGCGTACAAGATCTCGCCGGTGACATAGGCTAATAGGCGTTGTTTTGGTGAACGACGACTCCCTTCATTTCCCACACTATGAAACTCGCCACCATCACTTAAGAACTAAGAAGGATGCCGGGCAAACACAGAAACACAAGAGAACTTGACCCTAACGAGCAGGTGCTCAGAAAAGAATCCATTACCAAAACCAATGTATGTAGTGCCCCACAGAGAACGCCGGCGCGCAGACTGGCTGCTCCGAAATGTACGATTGCCCCTAGACTCCACACGCTACGCCCCAGAAAGCCTGCGCTCCAACCCATGCTTACACACTACTGTAGCTAATCTGGCAATGGCATGATACCCACGTATGCCTTGTTATTCAACGCAACAACAGCGGCCACATCGCACTAAAAAATTATCGCTCCAGAGATATATAGGAAAAAAAATCAGGCTGCATATTTCACGCCGCGGTATGTTTGACACGAACAACACCTAGCGGACAGCATCCACACCTATCTATCATCTGACTCTCCTATGACTGCGGGTACTCACACGCTCCCACTACACGCGCGCTGAAAGAAGTGTGTCTTTCAATATCATCTACCGGCGGAACAGACGTCACCAAGCAAGCAAGCGCTTCGATTGCACCTCCAGTTGTTCGCAGCGCCGTCCCTTCTTCAAGTAGCACTCTTAATTGTCCCTACTGTACCGCAATCCCTAGCTCTAGTACCCCATCGCCGTGAGGCCCCACGGAAAGCAATAACCATCTCTTCCGGCGCGGACTCTCAATCGCGCACCTGTCGCGTGAAGATGGCGAAAGCGAAACGAACGAAAGCGACAAAAAGGGTGTGAGAACTTGAGGTGCTCGGAGGTGACGGGTAGGCGACTGGTGAGGGACTTAAAGGACACAAAGTCGGAAAATCATGTTCAATGAGTGTTTACTCTATCGCCGGTGGCGGGGGCCGGCGGTTGGGGGGGGACGGGGTACATATACTCTCGGGCCGCTTTTCTTGGTCGTTTTGGGGACGCCATCACTTTCGAGATGCACTATTCCGGCGCATCTCTGCTATTTTTTCCACAACGCATAGGAGGCCAAGTATCACGGACGTCAGATCGCATGAAGAGTCGGGATTAGGTGCGTTTTGTCCTTGCTTCATGACACAATTTTGATGCTGCCCCCTACCACATGAAGGCAAAAAAACAACGCATGTAGCCTGCGCTCTACGTTGAGACGATCAAAGAAGGGCCGCCCAAGGTGCTGCTTCATGCTTCCGGGTCTCTCTCACCACCAAAATCTTGAGGGCCAGGTCCTTCGCCGGAGAGACGTGGTCCCGGTAGGCCACGATAACGGTGTCCCCCGCCTTGCAGAACCCGGCGCCCTTCGCCAGTTGCACCGCGTCTGCCTGGGTGGAAGGCGAGTCGGGCTCGTCGAGCACCACAGGGTGGAGCCCTCGGTGCAGGATGAGTTGTCGCCCTACCTTACGATCGGGGCAAATGCACATAACCTGGCGGTCCAGGGGCGGTGAGCACGACAAGCCGGGAGGGAGCAGTCATACATGCGTGAACGGGTAGCACATCCAGTTAAACAACAACTGACGCGATATACCGGGGGTAGTAGCGTGGAGTGGGACTGGCGGTGGGAAGCAACACCCATGTACTTGCATACATACGAGGAGCTGTTGGTGTGGTGTCACGAGGATGACATGAAGTTACATGTACAGCAGTGACACTCGCATCGACGGACTCGGCGGCGACAGCAGTACGAAGCTGCTGCACCTGGTGCAAACGGGCGGACACACGACGCAAACTCCAATATGCATGCTACCCTCACATCAACTTACCGGAACATTCGGGCGAAACTTGGCCACCAACCGGGCCATGTACCCCTTCTTGGTCACCACCACGATAAGCTTTGCCTCTTTACATAGGAAAGAAAAAAAAAACGCGGGGATAAGATAGAAAGGGTTGAACGCAAGATATCACGGCTCATTCCTTTACGGCGATGCTACAAGAAAAAGACGATACAAAAAATACCTCACCTGTAGCTTTACATTGTTGCCATCCGTCAAAGCCACAGGGTAAGGGCGCCTGTCATCTCAACACGAAGCGGGGCGGCCAGTACGGATATGACGCACTGGTGGTCCAAATCGTGCAGAAAAGCTCGCTGAGGCTGAGAACCCCATCCTAACCTATGCCCTCGTTCTGTTGAACTCAGACCGACAAAACTCACTGAGGCTGCGGGCCGCGTGCACGGTGGCCGCGGCGATGCCTTCCATCTCGGAAGTCGCCGAAGGTTCAGCCGCATCGGGGAGAACCAGCTCCGGGTTGGAACCCTTCCAGCTCTCAGCCTCGTCAATGATACATCGCATCATCTCGACTGACTCCACGGGGTACCTGTCATTTGGAAGTTTGCAACCAACAACCCAGAGGAAGGCAGGCCAAACGAAGATAATCTGTTGAGACGATGGATACTATTTTGGTACTGTGTCCAGTGACTACCGGAACCCGGGGAAACACGTGACACGTTCGGCATGACGGCATATGACTTTAATAACTTCGACTTCTCGCGTCACCTCCACCGATTCTACGGGGCACCCCATGTGTTGGGACGAACAACCGGGACCACCTCCATTTGTTTTCGCACCCGCTTCGCTGCGTCCCGTGTCAGCCAGACATCCATACATTGTCACACCGAAATGCTCAGAAATCATTCGGAAAATAGACTCGTGTCACAGCGAGTTGGGGAGAAATTATTTGGCGCATGCTTTTGCCTCAATCAGCGGGAGGGAGGGCCGGTCTAACTAGTTGTGCATGGGCTCCGTCACATGACCCTGGGCCCTACGGGAAACCGCGAGCAAAATGGGATGTGAATATGGCAGTAGTCGACAGGTTCGGTGGGATGGGCTCTTCAAACAAGCCGGCTGGCAACAGCAGCAGCAGCAACAGCAGCACGAGCAGCAGACAACACAAAAAGGGCGGCGACTCACTTTCCCTGTGCACTTTCGCCCGAAAGCATGACAGCGTCAGCGCCATCATAAACCGCGTTGGTCACATCACTAACTTCGGCCCTGCATCATACGTACGAAAGGCACCGACGAAATATGGCACGACGACAAGGGACAGGCAGAAATCGAAAAGGAAACAAGGGTGAAACATCGAAATGAGGGTCGACTCGGTGCAGAGTGTTACTCGGTGCCGCGTCTCATTGTTCGGTGGAGGGTTCATGCATACAGTAGGCGAACTAAGATAGCGGCGTCTCGATGGACGACAACGCCTATACCGCCAGCGGGGAAGGTGGCCGTGGCGGTAGCAACAGCCGCAGCAAACGCACACTGCGCAACATGGAAGGCTGTGAATATTCAAGCAAGTTTGCTGTACCGAAACAAAAAATCGGCATCTACCCAAATAACGACAGCAACAACAGTGCCGGCCGGCTCACAACGATTTGAGAAACAGGCTCGCTCATGTATACCCGACGGCGCCTGCTATTCAGAGTGTAGGTGTAGCACGCGATAATGCCGCCCCAAACTGTCCCAACCGTATTCAAATTCTCAACTTGACTATCTCACAATCGCCATTCTTACGAGCGGGTTGGTACTGCAGCGTTGTCGTGGATACGCCCCCCTCCTCTTCTTCCATGTGAGAATGCATGCCCTGACACCCACCACCGCCATGTCTTCCACTACATCATACCTAGTTGGTCGTGGGTTCGTCTGCATCGACTCCAGCATCTGGGTGGCCACAATCACCGGCTTGCCCACTCGGTTGCACTGCCTGCGTATCCCCACACATGGCACGAGAAAACGTCACATGTCCACCACCCGCGGCGGTGCGACGAGCACAATCCATTAGCGACAGCAGCGGTCACGAGGCGGGTGGGTTTCGACAAGACAACACCGGAAGGAGTTTTGCAGACGGGATAAGCACCAGGTTCTCTTCTCCTGCACGGGCGCTGTAGAGAGGGCCTGCAGGTGACACAGAAGAAGGTGCTGCTGTACCTGCGCACGTCCATGCGACTCCACGCGCTACAACACAAAAACACAACGCCTCATGGATGTCCGTGTGTGCAGCAGCCTCGCACAACCATCGTTCGTACGCCCTATTCCCAACGTTTTCCAGGAGGATGCTGGTGGGCCGACCGCTCGCGGTCGGCGGGGA